CTCTCTTCCAAAATTGCATACTTATTTCCCTGTTGTGTTGTTGCATATTTCAGATATTTCTGTACTGTATCAGTACATGGAAGGGTTCAAAAACAACAAAACAAAAAAAAAACAAAAAAAAAAAAAAACCTGTGGACTCTACGGCCCTTTTCCGTGGTCAGGTTTATTGCGATGGCTAGCGCCAGTGGTGTCATATCCAGAAGAAGGGTGGTAAACACGGCTGTTGTAGCACCAAGGAAGTGCCTAGCAATACTACCCTAGATAGCCGTACAGGATGCGTCTACCCTAAATTACACGAGGTTAGCCTGCCCCGGGGTAGTCAGTCAATAATATGCAGATGCGATGAACCAAAATGTTGGTTGGGTCGGGGGAGGGAATGAGACGGAACTGCTTTAGGGCTTGAGCCTCGAGGATTTGATCCCACAGCATCAATTATTCCGTATGAGCAAGCATGGCTCGGGTCAAAAATGGCATGTGCACTCACATTTAATATTGATCTATATGGATAGAAATCATATATACAGAGTACATACAAGAGTAATAATTCATTTCATCCATGATAGAGAGTATGGTATCTAATACCCCCCGGATTCCTGCGTGGTATTTCTCTTATTCACATTTGTATTTGGTATGGAGTATGTATTTACCTACATTGATACCTTGTAGGATTGCCTGCTATCTTGTCTAAGTGGATGTATGTATGTACAGTGTACACTATACCCCCCAACGTAATATCTGCTTGTTGATCACACCGCCAGACAGTGTTCATGTATACCTGCATGCATTAGCTGTGCAGGATGGCACGTTCTCTCAGCTTTTCTTTCTATCTACGGAGTATAACTAATGATATTTGCTATTCCTTTTGCCGAACCAACTACTGTCATTGGCCATTGTTTTTTCCCCCGGCTCACAGCTCCAGCTAGGTAATTGTAAGATCTTTCTTTCTACTCTTTGTACGGAGTATTTCTCCCTCACACTCCGTACTGCTTCTAAATCAATATCAACTACTACTCCTTTCTGTGTGCTCCGTATCCATCGATATCCGATCTGAAAAAAGAAGCAAGTGCCACACTACTGTCTCAGACACGAACCTTCGAGGCAACCCGTCTCTTCCCAGCCTTAATTATTATTATTTCTTCCCCCCCCCCCTATTTAGCCTCTTTAGCGTGTCTCACATGTTCCCCATCGTTCGGCCTCCTGACGATCGCTGTGTCTAGACTTCGCCCTAGTAGTGTTGACGAGGCAATTTTTTAATTACAAGGCTAGGTACTCTAAAGGACTGGAAGCAATGTCCCTTTGCTTCTCCGGGACTTGCTCCCTTCTGTTTGAATCAGAACCACATTCCGTACAGCAATCTCGAATACCCATAGAGATTAGCCAGGTTGTTCTATACGTTGAAAATCAATAGAGCCTCACTCTCCTGAGTGAAGAAATTATCAGATTGTTCATTCCAATACAGCTTATAAACATATCCCAGGTTTGCCTCCAATTCTCCCAACGCCTGGATCCTCTTAATACAGAATAAAGTAAAAGCGTAGTAGAAGATATACACTACAAAGTAATAGAGGAAAAGAAAGCTGTCTTGACAAATCTTTACTCTTCCATCGCCGCACCATTATCACCATCCGCGTTGTCATTGAACAGATCATCTGCACCATCGTCGTCCCCATTCTCTGATACTGCCACCGTCCCGGGCTGGTTCTCTTCTTCCTCTTCCTCTTCGTCGTCGGCAATCCGGCGATTCACCTTCGCTCGGCGCCGTTGAATCACGTTCTCCCCATCTTCACCTGTATCAGCCATCTCCTGATCGTGATCGGATTCCGCCGCCGGAGTTGTGGCGGCGTCGGCCCCGTCTTCCTCGTCGGAGTCCACCACCAGTTCACTGCTCTTGTACTTGCTCTGCATTTTCCCGCCCGATCGACGTTCCAGTCGACGCCGTTTCTTGGGGGCCGATTCGCCCTCGCTCTCTGGCTCTGAGCTTCCAGCCCTGGTCGGTGATTCGCCGTCACTGATGAAGTCGTCCTCTGCCCGCTTCTTCTTGCGTTTCGTCGAGGATGATTTCTTCTTGCGCTTCACCTTAGCGCCTGTCTCCGATTCTGTCGTTAACTCCGCTTCCTCCCGCGCACGTTCCTCCTCCGCCCGCTGCTCCGCTAATCGTTGTGCCTCCTCCACCATCCGCTGCCGTTCCTCTGCAATTCGCTGTTTACGCTCGCGCTCTGCCTCTTGCGCCTTGCGAACTTCCTCCTCACGCCGCCGGATCTCGGCTTCACGGGCCTCGCGTGCCTGCTGAAGTTTGGCCGCATTCTTTTCTTCGTACTCCTTCTGACTCTGGAGGGCTCGTTCGAGCTGTTTGATGATTGTCTTGCCCATGTTGGCTCGTTGTTCCAAGGCTCCCGCTGGGTAAGGAGGGTTCTTGGCCTGGGCAATGCGTCCAAAAGATTCAACCGCCTCACGAAGGCCATCAGACGCATCCTGTACATCTTGCACAGTCTTCTGCGTCTCCGGTAAACTGTATGCCAGAGAGGCGATTTGATTTTGTACGAACGCCACATTAAATTCCAGATGCACCTGGGACGGCGCAACAGCATGCGCTCGTCGTGCATAATCCAGAGCGGTCTTCATAGCCGACAAGCTTATCTCTTGTTTCCCCTTCAGCAGCCATACTCGGCCTAAGCATGCTAGAATTTGCGCATCACGAGCGCGGTCTTTCGACAGCGCCGCCTCGTAATGCTCGATAGATCGCGTGTGCTGCCGTAATTCCGCATATACATGCCCAAGGTTTAGGTAGACACTAGAGTCTCTCAAAGTGTCCCGAATCTTGGAAAATATATGCACTGCAGTACTGTAGTCCTTCTTAGCATCTACCAGAGCAATGGCGATACCCTGGGCCGCATAAGCATTTTGAGGATCTAACTGAAGAGCTTTGTCGAAGAATTCCACTGCCCTCTCGTACATCTTCCGGCGCTTCTCTTTCTCTTGATCGGTCTCGCGGCGCATATCACGTGCTGTCATGAGATGAACATTACCCATCCCAGTCAATGAGTAGCGGTCGTGCTTGTCGAAGTATTGCAGGGTATGTTTGTAGTGGCGTTGCTCCTGGTCCTCGGCCAGATTCGCAACCCGTTTTTTAGACTTGCTGAGGTACCAACCAAACAAAGCACGGACCTCAAGATTCGTCGAATCTGCTTCATACAGCTTGGCCATCCTTTTGGGACCCTCATCCGTGGGGCTCTGCCGTAGGGCAATATATGTTAACCTAGCGCTTGCTTCCGTATAGTCACTGTGACGTTCCAGGAGACCTTCATACACCTTCTTAGCTTCTTCCGGCATGTCAGAGGCCTCGTATGTCCGTCCAAGGTTATAACTAATGGTTGTGACCAGGGCGTCCGTGTCATGCTCGCTTTCTTTCTCCTGCGACCGGACGCAGGCATTCAACGCCGTTTCGAACATAGTCCGCGCTTGATCTACCTTCTCAGCCTGGTACAAAAAGCAACCCATATTGCTGAGAAGCTGTGGCGGTAGGTTTACTCGAAGAGCAGCTTTAACCTGCTCCTCATTTTCAAGGCCTTCTGGATGATCATCCTCAACAATTGCTGCCAATTGCAATTCCTCGAGCTGGGACAGGCACTGCATGCTCTTCTCCGGGGCTGTACGCTCATACAAGCGAGCCAAATACACCAACACTGACTCATCAGGGGAGAGTTTTTTGCCTTCGTCCTTCCAGAGGGCACGAACCGATTCTAGGAGACTGATCGCCTTTTTAGCTTCGGCTGACTTGTCCTCCCTGCTACCAATCTTCTCGGTAGCAAAGACCTCCTCCGCATAAAGTGCTCCGAGCAGTATCATGCATTCTGGGTTTTTGGTTTGCTGTATAATCTTCTCCAGTCGAAATTTGGCACCATCGTAATCTTTATTAGACACTTGCATCTGCACTGTGCCAAACCTGGCAGGCAAATACCCCTTATCACCGCCACCTCGAGCTTGGTCAGAGCGGTTATAGAACTCTGCAGCACGAGGAAGATCGCCTTCGTAGTGCGCCTTGCGACCAAGCAGGAACCAACCATCGCTAGCTATTTGCATCACGTCCGTGTGCTCGATCGCTTTCCGTGCTAAGGTTTCAACCGTAGAGTATGACTTCCTCAAAAGAAAATATCCCCCAAACAAAGCGCCCGTCATGGGGTATTCTTTGTCCAATTTGAAAGCTTTTTGTGTATACTGGGTCATAGCCACCTTATACAAAGAGCCAAACGCAGGATCCGTCGTGGCGTGTCGGGAACTATCGTAGAGGTAGTAGACGGCGAGTAGAATATTGGCAACTTTGGAGTCAGGGTTCTACAGAGCACATATACGATTAGCATCTGGTATTAAAAAAAAGAGAATAATGCGGGATCCACGTACCAATGACAGAGCTCGCTCCCACGCAGCTTTCGCCTGGTCCTTAAAGCCCAGGTGCCACAGGCAGCACCCAATACCAATGCGAGGATCAGGGTCTGTTAAACCAGGCATCTTCATCAAAACTTTCTGGTAACCTTCCAGTGCCTCTGCATATCTTCCAAGCATATACTGTGCCCTTGCGCGACCAAGGATAGCCATCACGTTTCGACCCCCGAAGGCTTTTGACGACTCCTCGAAGCATTTAAGAGCCTGTCTAAGAGACTCAACTCGTTCGGACGTGTCAACTGTACCAGGACGAACTGGCCTCGGGGGATGCAACGATGCGCGCAAAAGGGACAACACTCCACGGGCTAGAAACAGGGGCGGGAAAGCTGGGTTCAGGCGAGATGCCTCGTTTAATGTCGACGTCGCCAGCTGTAGGTAATGGTCCTTAGTTTTAGCCTCAGAATACAATTCCCCTTCCGGTGCCACTCGGGGCGCTTGTCGGCTCTTCAACATGAGCAGCCAGCATACCCAACCCAGCAAGCCGAGCTTCTCTTTCGTCGCTCCATGGGCGACTGATGCTAACCCTTTGTTGAGGATGTCAATAGCATGGTCGATTTGCTTTTGTTTGGCATAAGCGAGCGCGATAATAACCCAAAAATTTTTTGCGGCCTTTTCATTCTCCAGTAAAGTGCAGAGCTCCGTAGGATCGTCCGGAAGACCTTCCAGACTAACCTCGACTTCACTGTCGAGGGTGGACGCAGGAATATCAATGGCAGAAGGAATGTCCGAGAACCGGAGTGATGTAGCTGTGGAATGCGTTTCGCTGTTTATGCCATTCGTGTGTTCACTTCGTAGGGACGCCATGGCGCGTGAGAGGTATTCCTTTGAAAGTCGATGAGACACGGAAGGTGTGGTGGATGTCTGGAGTAGGGATAGTTGCAAGGTTCAGCTCATGATCGTACTATATGAAACGATTGCAATGAAAATGAGAAACACGTCCCCCTGCTGAGACCTCGAGCAGGAAGAGCGTCCTAAATTTACAGCAGCAACTCGAGACGACAAAACCTGCAGTGTTGAGCTCTCTACTTGGTGCGGGTGTCAGTAGATTGAAAGGGTCGGAACCTGAGGCTGGAGTCCGTGCTGAGGCACCGCCACATGTGGCTTCAATGTCTTCTTAGCTCTTGTACCAAATTCCTGCAATCAAAAGAAAGTTAGGAAAACAAGTGGGCTTGCGTTATCAACCTATATTGTACATCAACGCGGATTGGGAGAGGGGAAGTAAATCTCTTTACAAATATTATCATTTTCTAAATGCATCTCTCATAAACATGGTAAGAATAGCTAATCTAAGACAATATAAAAGGCAGTCCTATCAAAAACCCAAGAGTTTTGGTACTTTGCACAGAAGAGCAGCGCCTATTAATACCATAAATATACGCCCGATTTCACTCCAATGCCCCAGTCTAACAAATACTTCCACATATCCAGCGGCAGCGGCAGCTTTTAGACTTTCGGAAACGTCCACATCGTCAACAAAGCCAGCTAAATCAGACGGAAATCTTCCCGTCTCGAAATATTCCTCAAGCAGCTGGTCCTTTTCCGTCCACCGGGCCCTGAGCCAGGCATCGAATTCCTTCTGGTCATCTAAGGGTATGTCTGATACAGCAAACCGTCGCCAGTACATATTGACGGATGTTGGGGGTCTACCCTGAAGATATGTTGATCGGAGTGTGAAGTATTTATCCGGGTAGCTTCCTTTTCTACGGCATAAGTTAGTCGTGGATTTTCTCTTTTTTCAAATGACAATTTAATAGACATGGGGACTTACGGAGGTCCTTCATAGGCTACGGTGCAGTCGTACACCCAATCAACAGTGCCCCTCAATTGTTGTAGGCAAAAGAAAAGGCCGGTCGATCGTGGGAGAACCTCGTGCTTTAAAGGTGGAAACCCTTGCCTTTGCCCATACTCGTCACTACGCCTCTTAGTGTTAATTGACAAATTTGTCCCTTCAGGAAAGATCAACAGCCACATGGGGTCGTATTCAGACGATTCTGACTTGGAGCCTGAATGCCGGGTTTTCAACTTCTCCAACCGATGCTGTAGCCGGGGTTTGTCGGATAGCCATTTGCGAGCCATGAAGATAAAGCCGTAGAACGTCATACCTTGACCAACAATCGGGATGTACTTGAGAGACTCCTTGAGGATGATGAAAATGCGGCCATGCATCATGTTCGTATAAGCAACCCACCACAGGTAAATCCAATCGGTATAGACCTGGTGATTAGCAATCAATACCAAGCGCTCGGGAAATTCAGTTTTCAACCGGCCGTCCTCTGTCAGGTGAATCTGTCCTTGTACACTCTTATCACCACTAACGCGAACAAATGTCGGACAACCCCATTGTGTGAGAGCTGTGATGACCAGCCCGAAAGACTGCTTCGTGTATGCCATATATGCATAATAATAATCCCTGCTTATTAGATAGAGAGGAGCACCGAGCACCTGAGTCACTAGGATGACGACACAACAGCAGTTGAACCATGTTGCAAGCAAGAGGGATCGAAGCACCTGCATCGGGATCCCATGTTTAAGCCGTGGTTCCATGTCATCGCCAGCCCGAGAATTTTGATTCATGTTCCCTGTACGTTGCCAGGTTGGGTTCTTTTTTTGCTGGTGAAGCTCAGGGTTAGGGCCACCCATCATTTTAGATTGCCAGTGGCCAAAAGAGCACCTGATTCTGTTGAGCTGGTAGACTAGACACTTTGTTGCGGTATCAATTTATCCTTAACCTGCCGATCACGCAACTAGAAATTAGTCGAGCGATTGCATAAAAGGGAAGGCAGTCCCGTACTCGAGCGAAAGATCTATTTGAAGAATCTCACACCACGTCGGGCGATCAAGGGAAATTTGACGCCTATCAGTTTAGGCCATGCCCAGACCCGCGAAGCAAAACAAGAATATCAGAGGATATATCCTATATATAATGCATGTAGGACGAAGTGAAAGATAAGTTTCATAACAGAGAATGAACGGTACGTAGGAGCTAAAGTACTAGGTACGAGATAACGCCTGACCGCAACTATTGGCAGGAGGGGATCTTGTGAACCCGAAAGCCAAGACATCCACTGCTGGTAAATAGTCCACAGGCAAGGCACCTGTGACGTTCTCTCCCTCATACGTCAGGCTCTCAGGGCGGTCAGGCTCTTCAGCTCCGGAGTAGATCATTCTGGGGACCACCTTATCCTTCACCCCATCAAAGATCCGGAGTGACCTTCGTTCATTCACTCACACACTCTCTCTCCCTTCTTCTTTAACGGGAACGGTAATACAAATTCAAGGCTTCCATAAATATACGTCTTCCGGGAATGATTCCATGCTTCAGATTAGTGTTGTCCCCCAGAAGTTGAGCCCGGAAGATGAAAGAGGGAAAAATACAAGTGAGCTTTTATTAGATCAATGAAAATAGCCGCTGTTCACAGCGCTAATCTCTGTGTCAAGCCTTATTTTGAGCTGCTCACTCCTTTTTCAACATGCAAGCGACTACTCTTCGAACGCAATCATTTCGGTCCATGATTAGCATAACCAAGTATACACCATGGAAGCGACCCTTTTCATCTTCTCTTCGCCGCTGTGAAATCAGAGATATCGAGACGTTACCTCACCGGTTATTACCTAAATACGAAGGTGTGCGTCTCTGCAAACTGCAAAACCGCTTCCGCCTCTTGAGATAACGCGAAAGAAGGTGACACTAGACTATGCCTTGCTGATCCTTTGTCCCAGAATCTTGGGAGGGCGATCTCCTTTCTCTTCAATGGCCAGCACCCCCTCGGAATGTCTTTGTTGTGAAAAAGGATTGCGTGCCAACAGTGACGGAATCGCTGATTGAATTTGCGAAGTATGGGAGCCGTCTTGATACCTTGGAGAATACAACTGACAGCTTTTTGCCTAGTCATGTAACATCTACATATCCATCTATCGCCCTGATCCTAGAGCCAAAGACTGCCGAAGAAGTGCATTCAAACTTCCCTTTTCCCATCTACTCAGCTCCATTGAGCAGGCTAGCCTCGGGGTTACATAGTAAAGCGGACCTTACGGTTACTCTTGGAGGGGATGGAACTATTTTGCATGCTTCTTCCTTGTTCGCTACATGTTACAATGTGCCCCCGGTGCTTTCATTCAGCATGGGTACACTGGGGTTTTTAAGCGAGTGGAAGTTCGAGGAGTACAAACGCGCATTTCGTGAGGTATACATGTCCGGTGCGGGAGTAGGGGATCGAGCTCCTATGTTAGAAGCGTCGAGGTGTATTGCGACGGATTATCAAGCGGATTCTGAGACAGGCCCCACGGGATGGTCGTCGGTTCGTGGGAAATCAATGGGCTCGAGCCGCGGAGCTCGCATTTTGATGCGAAACCGCCTAAAAGTTGGGCTTTTCACTGCTGACGGGAGACCTGTTCAGCAAGACCGAGGCTCAACTTCCGTACGGAATACGTTGAGCAGCCAGGGAGTGTACGTAATGAACGAAGTGCTTCTCCATCGTGGCAAGGAGCCGCATCTTGCGGTGGTGGATGTTTATGTCGGAGGACGATTCCTTACAGAGGCAGTGGCGGATGGGATCATTATCTCGACGCCCACGGGTAGTACCGCATATAGCTTGAGTAGTGGTGGCAGTATTGTGCATCCCTTGGTACCTTCGGTTCTATTAACTCCAATCTGTGCCCGGAGTCTGAGTTTCCGGCCTTTGGTTTTACCATCCAGCACGCCGATTACGTTGAAACTGAGTGAAAAGAACCGGGGTCGTGAATTAGAGATGAGTATTGACGGGGTCAACATGGGTCAGGGAATGGCTGTTGGTATGGAGGTCCGAGTATGGAATGAAGAGATGCGGCACGGCAAAAACGAATGGCAGGGAGGAGTACCATGTGTGATGAGGAGAATTATGGGTGGTGAGGCGCATGATGGATGGGTTGGCGGTTTGAATGGGCTGCTCAAATTTAACTACCCCTTCGGTGAAGAACCGTGACGAACCGACAGAGAACAATCCATATTCTAACTATTATATGAACACTTTCTAAAGTTTATTTACTCAACCATCTACTGCCAGCGAACGACTCCCCCGGGCGGTCTCAATTGTGACAAGCCTATCTCTAGGTTAGCTGGTACTAGGTAGACAGTCTATATGAGTAGGTATCGCTGCTATACTCTGGGAGTTGTCATGCATACGGTTGATTGGTCTTTAGTTGGCGGTAAATCTGTGAATTATAGTTAAGGAGAAGAGAAACAAAAAATGAGGTTGCTTGTATCAGGCGAGTGGACCGCCCAAGTTCTTGGATCTATGGAACGACAACCCGTGGGTCGGGGTTCTATCTTTGGGGAAGATTAGGAGTACACACATTGGTGTGATTGGTTTAAGGGATAGCGACTGGGTACATACAAACAGTGGCAGGATATTTGAACAGACATGGATGCTCTAGGGAGTCGTAGGGACTAACTTGGGATGGTCTTCCGTGTACAATCGTTCATAGAAGTGTCGATGCCTACTAATTACTTAAGTTAGGAGGCGCCGTGACGGGAGATTGCCGAGCATGCTTAGGAGAGTTACATTTCAGCCTTCATCGTCGTCGCCTTTTCATCAGGGAACTGGGTTTTTTGGTCCAGTCTCGTTATTTATGTGATTCACACCGTCAGTCCACCTGCAACTGTGTCTCCCAACCTCTTTGGGTAGCAATAACTCTACAACACTTACCGCAGACTACCCTATCTTTTTGTCAGAAAAAAATACAGTATTCTCCTCCTAGTACAACCTTTCCTCACTTAACCCAAAGGTCTAAGTATTGAACGTGGCCGCTCCGCCTCCGATACGAATTCGCTGTCTGATGGATATTATCCTGTTAGCTAATGGCCCTGAATATGATGTAACTACGGTAGAAATAAAGTACTAGTGTATCAAATATATTCATTCAAATATGAGGAACCCTTGTATCATTATCACTATCCAGCTAAAGCAAGAATGTAAAGGAGAGTAAATAAAGATATCGATAAACCGTTATTATAGGAATGTCTTAGTAGATCCTAGAACTCTCTTTGCAACCGTTACCGCTCTCGAAGCCCGAGCGCTTTTCCTATGTCAAGTGCCGCACCCCTTGACTTGCGATGGGCTCCCGCTGTTAGTGAAACCTCATTTACGATTTCCCTTCCCTTTCTTTCCCCCCTCCGTTCTCCTTGGATTCCCACCCCTCGCCTGCTACTTTGTTTTCTCTCCCTTCCACGCTTTTCTCCTTTTTCCTATGCATTGTTAATATAACACATTCTTATTCGCTTCACTGTTTCCCACAGGAAAGTCCCTTTTCTCACATACGTCCCTTACTCTTGTCGCTTCTGAATTGGCGACTCTTCTCACCGCGTTCTGAAGGGTCCTTTGCGCTCGGTCATACTCGCTGGTGCGAGGAGACCTTTCGGTTCTTCCAAAGTTAAACGTATTGTCAGGTAAGGTCTCTCTTGTCCAAAGCATCATTAAAGAAGAAAAATGAAAGGAAAATAATCCGACAATACTCCCCCCATATCGACTGAGTTCTACCCCACTGTTTTGCTGGCGGATCGACTCCTATTGTTGTAGGATTCCCGATGCTGCGCACCAGACCATTTAGGTTTGGGACTCACGGGGCTTGAAGCGCCAGCCTTGTGCTAAGAAGTTTGACTCCATCCCTGACAATATACAGCAATTACACAAACAGCCGAACCATCCACGGATACCCCTCGTACCCGCTGTGAAGTAAGAAGTTACTTCTGGAGCCAGCGCGCTTCTCCCCTCAACTTATGGAAAGTACGTCGGTGTTGCTCTTATTTATCACTACCGCTTAGCAGCCAGTGTGTATTTGTTACGGCATATACTGATGGCTTTTGTCCCTATTTTTGTATCATCCGAAAGATATTGGACCTTTGGACAGTAACTGATGGCGACACACAGGATGTACTCTCCCGACCAGTTCATGAATCCTGGGCCAGCACCGCGCCCACCAGCCGAGCGTCCGAAGCTTAACCTGCCTGCTAACTCCTCAAATACGGTCACGTCCTTCAGCCAAATGAGCCTAGACTCCCCCAGTACGCCAGGGTCCGCAAACTTGTCATTATTCCCGAATACTAGCACCCCGTCTCTCACACAAACAAAAACCAACCAGTCAGGACAAGGAGGGGTAACCGTCATCAAAGAAGGATATGTTCGTTGCAAGGAAGACAAATTTCTGGCTACCTGGAACCAGCGATATTTGATACTTCGAGAGTTTCGATTGGACTTTTTGAAGAACGAGACGGGCAGGGTAGTCTTGTCTATCCCCCTTCAGACGGTCACCGCTGTCTCCCGTTCCGAAGACAGTCGGATGGCCTTCGAAGTTATTCGTTTGGCCAATCCGAAAGATGCCACCTCTAAGGCTGCTCTGATCACACGCGACGTACCAACTAAGAGTATTACCTGCGAGGTCAAGAGTGATGACGAGATCTATGACTGGATTGACAAGATCTACGAGCGCTGCCCGGGAATGGGAGGCGTAAGCAACCCGACCAATTTTAGCCACCGCGTTCACGTCGGCTTCGACCCGCGGACAGGCGCCTTTGTGGGATTACCGCCTGAGTGGGAGAAGCTGCTGACTGCATCGGCTATCACCAAAGAAGACTATAAGAAGAACCCCCAAGCCGTCATCGAAGTTCTCGAGTTTTACTCTGATATAAAGATGCGCGAACAGAACCCACAGTATTATGCCGGATTAGCCTCTCCCCAGTCAAACCAGCAACCAAAAACTTACAACAGCAATACGGTGGGCAGTTCTATTGCTCCTCCAAGACCGCCGCCACCAGCCCCATCCCAGCGCTTAGACAGTGGCCACTCCAATCGTTCCGCTGGTTCATCACCCTCGCAGACGCACAGCAAATCAGACTCAGATCGTGCTTTGGAACAGCAGCAACAGCTGGAGAGGATGAAGGAGATGGCGGACCAAGAGCGTCGGCGCATGGAGGAAGAAGGTCGCCGTGCTCGTCAACGTGAAGAAGAGCAAAATAGGCTCGATCAAGAAGCGTACAACGCTTCACTTCCAAAGACTCGCGTCCCTCTGGCCAAACAGGAGCTCGGCGGCTATGGCGCCGATCCGTCGATGAACGACCGCTACAAACCAGGCCGTCCCGCCCCGCAGGCTCCTGGCTCGGCTCGACAAGACTCTGCACGCCAGCTCACTGCTCAGCGCCCAGCGCCAGCTCCTCCGACTAGTTCCAACCAGGGCCAACGGCCGGGGGAGTACATATCGGCCAACGGCCCCGGAATTGCACGTGCTCCGGGGTCAGACCAATCTTCTCCCAGCTCGCGTTACCCTGCGCATGATCCGCGAGCACAGTCCTCTGCGGCACGCGCTCAGAACAATGGTACCAAACAGCAGGCTCAGGGCCCACCACCCAGCAAACTTCCTGCTCCCGTGCAGCCAGTGAAGCCACTGAATATTGCGAACAAACAGGCAACTAATAAGAACGTTCCTGATGGTGTCCGTCAAGCTGAAGCTGCCCTGACTAAGAAAGCTGAGCCCCGGCAGAGGGAAGTTCGCATGTCGGCAATGTCTGAGAACGAAGTTATGGATCGGCTTAGGTCCGTCGTCTCTAAAGACAATCCCAACGAATCTTACAGTAAGCAACGTAAGATTGGACAAGGTGCTTCTGGATCTGTGTATGTTGCACGTGTGAAGGAACATGCTGTGTCTCCGGTTGCCCGCGAACTGTACCGCCAATATGGGCCCCGGACTCAAGTCGCAATCAAACAAATGGATCTGCGTAGTCAACCACGAAAGGAGCTTATTGTCAATGAGATCATTGTAATGAAAGACAGTCAGCATGCCAATATTGTCAATTTCCTTGACTCATTCCTGCAAGAACAAAGCAATGAGCTCTGGGTTGTTATGGAATTCATGGAGGGCGGTGCCCTCACAGATGTCATCGACAATAACCCTGTAATCCAGGAAGATCAGATTGCTACCATTTGCTCAGAGGTACGTTGATGCTGCTCAGCGCGATAAGACGGCAAAATACACGGGGATTATACTAATCATCTCCCTAGACTTGCAAAGGGCTGGCACACTTACATAGCCAAAACATTATCCACCGTGATATCAAGAGTGACAATGTCCTTCTTGACCGCGCTGGTCATGTCAAGATTAGTAAGTAACCCCCATCTATGGAACAGTCCAATATCACGCTAACAAAGGATTGTAGCCGATTTTGGATTCTGTGCTAAACTTACTGAATCAAAGAGCAAGCGTGCAACGATGGTCGGGACGCCATACTGGATGGCCCCAGAAGTTGTCAAACAGAAAGAATATGGACCTAAGGTCGACTGCTGGTCACTAGGAATTATGGCTATTGAGATGATAGAGTCAGAGCCCCCTTACCTGAACGAGGAACCGCTTAAAGCTCTATATCTTATTGCCACCAATGGCACTCCTCGTCTAAAGAAGCCTGAAAAGTTGAGCAAGGAGCTCAAATCCTTCCTCAGCCAGTGTCTGTGTGTCGACGTCCGCAGCCGTGCCACTGCGGATGAACTGCTAGCTCACGAATTCCTGAAATCTGGCTGTAGTCTTCCTAGCCTTGCGGAGTTGCTCCGTTGGAAGAAGAACAATGGACAGTGATGTGCCGGAGATCGCATGCTGTGGTGATAACACAAAACTGAGACGAGCTTTAACCCCACCCTCCATGTTTCACCTTTTACGATTTACATTAGAACTTGTCTCACGCACATATGGGTCCCATTTACGTGCCTCCGGATGATATCTGTTCGCTTATGACTTGCATTACAATCATCTTTTTTCTTATGTGATATCCAAATTATAAAGCTATGTCTTTCGGACTTGGCATGGATAATTAGGCGTTATGTTTGGTGTCTAAATCTTCGTTTGCCACAGCTTCTACTGCCGTGAATAATCAATTCTGCGTTTGTTGTGTTGTTCGGACTGAGCCACCTTCGCATCTTCTCCAGCGAGATAGAACAAGCAA